TAAAATTACCTACAAAGCTTCAACAGTATGAGATCATATACGGAGGCGTGTACCAAAAGTCCTTGCCAGGCAGGGGTATAGCCTACCCCTGTCAAAATGAGCATTCACGATACTTGCACCTGTAGCTTCATAAAATGAGAATCAATTATAATAGTTAATAGTTCCTACGTGCCTTGCCATGTGTAGATATATTACTAACCCCTTCCTTATATCCATTTCCTCCTTCGAGTCTAATAACCTCTTGAATATGGCGTGGAATCCTCTCGATCCACGCCTGTATTCTCCGTTGTTCATGCTCCTCCCATGCCTTTTTCCACACAATTTCTGCAGTTTTCCGAGTTGTAGGAGGCCCTTTACGAGTAGTAACCCGCTTCATAAATGGTCAACAAGGCTCAATCATATTAAGGTCAGGCGAATTACCTGGCCATAATAGCCGTTGAATATCAAACCTATCAAAGACAGCCTTTTGCCACTTTGACGCATGAGATGGTGCTTTATCTTCTTGTACAATAGTATTTAGCCTTTCCTTCTTACACCCTTGTGCAAATGGTAGAAGTAAAGGCTCAAGGATGACTTTTCAGTATCGCCATGCATCAATTCCTCCTTTTTGTAATGGTGGGTGCACCAGATGTGAGAATCTAGCAACCCAAGGGAAGGGATGATTTTACTACGACAACACACTGTCTTAGGAAACAGAGCCAAAGGGTTGTAGTTTAGACTATTCCACAATGCAGCAATCAGGTGTATGATGTAGTGAAGTGGTTTAGACAAGTTGTAACAAATGTTGAGTCTGAGAACTCAGGGGTAAGTAAGAGGTTAGCACCTCACTGACTTTTCAGAAACAAAGAATAACAAGATCAATGCTTGGAAGCTTGGAAAAGACGTAGAAGTTGTGCTAGTCGATTTACTGTATTGTCTGCTTGTGCAAGGACACAGGGCACCCAGCTCACAGTAATAGCATATGAGAGTGCGAGTCAGAGGCTAAACGGATGCTATCCTATAGGTCTACTACGAAGGATACAAAAAAGATGAAGGGGGAACCCCGTGAGTCAATTCCCTCAAGTACCCGAACCCATCCGACTTGGTTAGCCCAGCCAAATGATCACACGTGACCAGGGGGAACCCTGTGAGTCAATTCCCTCAAATACCCGAAACCCATCCGACTTGGTTAGCCCAGCCAAATGATCACACGTGACCAGGGGGAACCCTGTGAGTCAATTCCCTCAAATACCCGAAACCCATCCGACTTGGTTAGCCCAGCCAAATGATCACATGTGACCAGGAGGAACCCTGTGAGTCAATTCCCTCAAATACCCGAAACCCATCCGACTCGATTAGCCCACCCAAATGATCACACATGACCAGGGGGAACCCCGTGAGTCAATTCCCTCAAGTACCCGAAACCCATCCGGCTCGGTTAGATGCAATGAACTCTACCATCTAGGTGATATTGAGATATAACACGCTGGACAATAGTTGCTCACCCAAATAATCACACGTGACCCGCAGCTACTCAGAGTCTGCTCCTTAGAGTGAGAGACGAGAAGGCATCCTTACAGCTTGCCCTTTCTTAAGGAAAGGGCAATCCTATTTATGCTAAAGGAGTGTAGTTCTCTCATTTTCCAAGACTTTCCATGACTAACCAGGCTTGGTAACTGTAGTCAATGTAAGAGAATCCCATAGAACCATCTCTTAGGTTCCTAGCCTATAGGGAGTGAAAGGAGGTCCAAGGTCAGAGTACCCCTATAGACAAATTATGTCATAACTTAACCAATCTTGTGGGTAACTAAGGAGCGATGACGTGTAATGAATCATAGAGGGTTGTAGAAGCTTCTAGAGCTATCGTTCATGTTCCTAGGCCTCTAGTTGGTAGAGATATGCCATGTGGTAGTATTGGCCCACCCCCTTAAGGAGGAGATTTTCTTTAATAACTTGTTCAATGAGTGTCCAAATGATATGCCGTGATGTATGTAGCATAAACAAATGTAGTAGAAGAGTTTACAGCAATTGTTGAGTAGTATTGCTCTTGTTGTTGGTGTGATAAGCCAAGATATGTATGGTGACTTGTAGGTTTGAGGAGGAGATTTCTAAGTTTGCTCTTGAGTTTGATAGCAAACTGAGTGTAACAAATGTCAGTATGACACTTTTCCTTTCTCACAGGTCATTGCTCCTGTCTTTTTTGTAAACTTCCACTCTGGCTTCCTTCCTCTATAGTTCCGTAATCCAAGGTGACATATTCCATTTTCAAGTTCCCATTCCTCTTTGCATTGTGCTTCAATTGTATTATTAACTGCTTCGATTTCAATTGCTGCTTCTCTCTTCTCCCTTGCTGCGAAGTGTATATGGCCCCTTTTATCGTATGTAAAACAGCTCCACCACATGAATTCCGACGCTCCGTGCCATCGAGAGCGAATAACAGATGGCTCGAATCTCTCATCTTTTGTCCTCCATACTTTAAATCCTCCACGTCGATGGCCAAGGACAATAGATGTTTCATCTTTTCTAATCTGTAAGAGTCCAATGTGCATATCATAGAGCGAATTGTAGTCGTGCTTCTCTCATCGCTTTAGTTAATCCTGGTTTCCATGTTGGCTTTTGTTTTATCAGTTTATGGCGTTGTAGTACTCAAAAAGCAGTCATTGTAGACACACCATTTTCATAATGTCATACTGACATCCGTTGCACTCAGTTTGCTATCAAACTCAAGAGCAAACTTAGAAATCTCCTCCTCAAACCTACAAGTCACCATTCATATCTTGGCTTATCACACCAACAACAAGAGCAATACTACTCAACAATTGCTGTAAACTCTTCTACTACATTTGTTTATGCTACATACATCACGGCATATCATTTGGACACTCATTGAACAAGTTATTAAAGAAAATCTCCTCCTTAAGGGGGTGGGCCAATACTACCACATGGCATATCTCTACCAACTAGAGGCCTAGGAACATGAACGATAGCTCTAGAAGCTTCTACAACCCTCTATGATTCATTACACGTCATCGCTCCTTAGTTACCCACAAGATTGGTTAAGTTATGACATAATTTGTCTATAGGGGTACTCTGACCTTGGACCTCCTTTCACTCCCTATAGGCTAGGAACCTAAGAGATGGTTCTATGGGATTCTCTTACATTGACTACAGTTACCAAGCCTGGTTAGTCATGGAAAGTCTTGGAAAATGAGAGAACTACACTCCTTTAGCATAAATAGGATTGCCCTTTCCTTAAGAAAGGGCAAGCTGTAAGGATGCCTTCTCGTCTCTCACTCTAAGGAGCAGACTCTGAGTAGCTGCGGGTCACGTGTGATTATTTGGGTGAGCAACTATTGTCCAGCGTGTTATATCTCAATATCACCTAGATGGTAGAGTTCATTGCATCTAACCGAGCCGGATGGGTTTCGGGTACTTGAGGGAATTGACTCACGGGGTTCCCCCTGGTCATGTGTGATCATTTGGGTGGGCTAATCGAGTCGGATGGGTTTCGGGTATTTGAGGGAATTGACTCACAGGGTTCCTCCTGGTCACATGTGATCATTTGGCTGGGCTAACCAAGTCGGATGGGTTTCGGGTATTTGAGGGAATTGACTCACAGGGTTCCCCCTGGTCACGTGTGATCATTTGGCTGGGCTAACCAAGTCGGATGGGTTTCGGGTATTTGAGGGAATTGACTCACAGGGTTCCCCCTGGTCACGTGTGATCATTTGGCTGGGCTAACCAAGTCGGATGGGTTCGGGTACTTGAGGGAATTGACTCACGGGGTTCCCCCTTCATCTTTTTTGTATCCTTCGTAGTAGACCTATAGGATAGCATCCGTTTAGCCTCTGACTCGCACTCTCATATGCTATTACTGTGAGCTGGGTGCCCTGTGTCCTTGCACAAGCAGACAATACAGTAAATCGACTAGCACAACTTCTACGTCTTTTCCAAGCTTCCAAGCATTGATCTTGTTATTCTTTGTTTCTGAAAAGTCAGTGAGGTGCTAACCTCTTACTTACCCCTGAGTTCTCAGACTCAACATTTGTTACAACTTGTCTAAACCACTTCACTACATCATACACCTGATTGCTGCATTGTGGAATAGTCTAAACTACAACCCTTTGGCTCTGTTTCCTAAGACAGTGTGTTGTCATAGTAAAATCATCCCTTCCCTTGGGTTGCTAGATTCTCACATCTGGTGCACCCACCATTACACATAACCAATTGTTGCTGCTGTCTTCTCTCGAGGGTTCCGGTCCATTTTTATACTCTTTATAAGAATCTCTTCGCCATTTGCACTTAGTTTCTGAGGGCATCCTGTTCGAGGGGCATCACTAAGATATTTATTGAGTAATTGCTTGTCGATATCTGGATTATATCCACGGCGGCCTGCTTCAGCCATGTAGAATCGCACTTGCCGCTCAGAAATTTTTGTATTCTCTTTAATTTGCTGATATGTAGCTCCCTAAGCTCGGAGTCCTATAGCTTGAGCTCGCGTTGCAAGAGAGTATGAAGGCATATTTAATATCTGTATTATCTTCTACTCTACAAAATACGAATTGACGATGCCTATTTACTGACTTTACCCGTATTTTTAGCCCCGAACGCTACATTCCTTGGCACTGTTAGCCCGGCAAGGACTTTTGGTACACGCCTCCGTACCCATCCCGGAATAAGAGTCAAGCAGCGGCTCCAAGACTTCCAAGTCTGAGAGGGACGTGTAGCATTCCCGTGCCACGTGACGTGCTGATTGGTTACATTGTGTTGGGGGAAACGGACAATCCCATGGGATACGGTAGTCTTTCGCGCCCAAAATGGCACTTTTCTCCGTGGGACTATCTAGTTCCCCAGTCGGTCAGAGTACTGAGCTGAGGTTTCAGCTCAGTGTATCACTTCGGTTTGGGGTGTAGGGACCCAAACCTTCGGGGTTTTGGGGGTTTCTCCCAGGCCTACAAATAGCGTACGTAGACCCGTAGTTTAGTGAGCAATTCAATTGATTATATTATCCTATATACGGTATTCTACTGTTGAAGCCTCTGTTCTGCTGCCCGTAAGAGATTAATTACGGTGACCGGAGATTATCACACGATTCTGTGTGTGGTTCTCCGTACTCCGCAATTACCTCCAACACATTGGGAGCAACCGCACTCTAGCGCGGTGGGGCGAACAGACTTCCTACGAGCCTCAACTCTGGACGTCGCTCATATAAATAAACCCATCGCCTCCACAAAAGTAGACTGGGAGAAACTGTTGATAAGAGCTTTACTGCAGGAACAAAGACCGCCCGCTACTGCCCGTAGTCAGACTCGTTATCAATATTGGAGAACCGCCAATATTCTCACTTTGAACACCACCAGCGAGAGACTGGCCCTCTAAATCCCATACTGCGCCCCAAGGCAACCACAGGCAAGATGGCAGTAAAAGTTACGCCTTACCAAGAGGTATTTATCTTTTCTGAGACTGATAAGGGAGAGAGCTCGTCAACTAACATCACAGCGCGTCTACGCCCTCCTCGTCCAAATCCCCTCCGGCCGCATCACATCCTACAAATCCCTCTCCGACGCCCTGAACTCAAGCCCACGCGCTATCGGGGGTGCATTGAGGAATAACCCTTTTGCGCCTGAAGTCGTAAGTTTCCTCCCCGCCTCATTCTTTCACCTCCGTCTCTGCCATTCCTGTACTTTTCTTACGGGCGTGGCAAAAAATAAATAAAGAGAGTGAGTGCTGATAGTAGCTTGTAGCCGTGTCATAGGTGTATTGCTTCTACGGGGTTTGTGGGGGGGTTTATGGGGGGTTGGAATAAGGCGCCGAGCGGGATTAATCAGGAGAAGAAGATTGAGTTGCTGAGGGGGGAAGGGGTGGAGTTTGATGAGAAGGGGATGTTGATGGATAAGGGGAGGTGGTGGGATGGGTTTAAGGTGTGATGAAGGGCGTTGGGAGGGCTGTACTGTATATTATAACGCGACCAAGGAAATAGGCCTCTTGAATACGGCGAGAATGAATCATTAATAACCCCAAAATGGATTTCTATTTGCTATTGTTGCCCAGGTGGTATAATAATATCCCCGCATAAAATCCAAAACTCCCGTAGCGTAAATAATCGTCCCATAAAGTCATTCCAGTCATATACTCATTACCATAAGCATAACACATCCCAATAATCATACAAACCCGCCCCCCAAACCCATAAATACGCCATCAATCTCACAGCGATATATCCTGTGCCGCCTCACTTAACACACTCAGCAAACTCCCCGCCGCACCGCCAATACTCGCCGCCGTAAACCTCTCCGACCATCGTTTATTTTGCGACCACCTACTCCCCCCCTTCACCGCACCCCCCTTCACCGCCTCCCCACTCTCCCTCCCCTCCCTCTCCCTCCCCTTCCTCTCCCTCTCCGAACTCACAGCTCCACTCGGCCCATCCATCCACGACTGCGGCATCCTATACTGCCCCTGCTTCCTCGGCGCGTACTGTGGCCTCTCCCTATCCCCCTCCTCCCCACTCCGTCTAGCCTGATCGCGACTATACCGTCTATCCACCGAACCCCTACTCGACGACGACTCATCATCGCTCGTATCCGTAATCCTCATTTCCTCGTCGGGGAAGTGGACCGATTTCTTAGGTGGTGCGGGGGCGGGGATGGGGTCGGCGGGCCGCGGGGTGCGCGCGCTTTGGGAGCGGAGACGGCGGGCTTCGTGGAGGGCGGCGGTGCGGATGGCGAGGTTTTGGATTTGGGGGAGGGTGAAGACGCCGAGGATTGCGACGTATTCGGGACGACTGGGGTGTGTTAGTATGTGTTTATATTTATTTATATATGGGAGATGGGGTACGTACGCTTCATATCTGAGTCGGTCTTCTTCGAGGATCTCGGTGCTAACTAGACGACGCCGTATCTTGGTCCACTTTGCGTCCCGAGGGATCTCGCGACCCTGCGAGTCTGGTGCCAGGCCGGCGGGTACGGAGGTGGTGATGTTTCGCGGGCTGTGTCCGTACGGTCTGTGGCAGGGTAGGGTGTGACTCTCACCGGTATGGGTAAGGCACCCGAGCCACGTGGTGAGGCACTGTACAGCGACTCCTCTGGTGCTAGGACAGGTAACTGTTGAGGTCGAGGCCGGTAGGCCATGGCGTTTCCATCGGTGAAGGATGATATCCTTTTGGAGGTGGAGGTGGAGCCGCTTGGAGAGTGGCCTTGGTCTCTGTCATTTTGGTCGGACTGTCGTCGAGGCCTTCCATCTGCTCGCGGTGCTTCGAGCATTCGCATCCTGCTTTCGTTCGCGGAGTCGTCGGCGAGGATGGACTCCGTGGTGCAGATCTCTGGCTCTGGTATTGGTGATCTGAGTTGTACGGATGTTGGAGGACTCGCGGCGATGACATAGCTATAACCGTTTCTACCGCATGAAGAGCCTGAACGCTGGAGAGATGGAACTGGTGGAGGTTGGACGGGCGGAGCATAAAGTATTGGGATCTGGGGTGGTAGGGGTTGAACTGGCGGGGCCTTTGTATCACCTATACCTTCCTTCCAAGCTGTTGTTATAGATTCTGGCTTTGGTCGCTCATTCTTCATTGTCTGTAGGAATTTGCTGTTATCCTCCCCGACTCTAAGCTCCTTTATCGAGGAGTCAGAACTGGTAGTGTTGAACGACGGTGGGACGGAAGCAGATTCTGGTGATTGAACTTGTTCGAGCCATTCCTGGGTATTTACTGATAAAACTGGCTGTCTTGCCTTCGCAGCGACCAGGACATCTTCGAGCAGTCCGTTCTGATCGATTTGCCGAATATAGGCTCGTAATACATCCTTTCAATTAATGTTAGCTCATGGAACCAGAAATTCAAGTGAGAACATCGATACTCACTTTATGTCGAGTTAAAACGTCGCTAGAGAACCCCTCCGCGACAAGTTCTCGCCGAAAGCTTTTCCACACTTCTTTATCGTCATCCTCATATGTAGTCATTAAAGAAGCCGCCCGCTGACCCATCCGCGACGCAATATTGTCCACTTTATCCAATATGATATCCAGTTGTCCTCCATGATTATCCAGTGTCGTCGCCACCCTACTCGATTCGCGAAGTTGTATCGTGTCGAGCAGCGCCGTAATATTCGTTTTGTGATTTATAAGCTTCACCCTCACAGTGCCCAGCTGGTCCATCTCTATACTGCCAAACTTGATCTGATTCCACAGCTCTCCACTCGTGTCCCCACTCCTATCGTTGTTCCTAATGTCGCCATACTTCCGCAGAAGTTCTTCCAGGTCCTCCAGCGTAAAGCGACAGTCGGCGATCAGCGGCGCAAGGTCTCGCGCATACAACGCCCGGTCGCGGTTCAGTATCGACTCCGGCGCTTGCACTTCGAACTTGAGATATCGCAGCACCGTATGGAGTGCGCGAATCTCGCGCCCGATCTCGAAATAGGCATCGTCGGCGTTCTTGCACTGTCGGTACAGCCGGCGCGTGAACTCCAGTACAATAATTATATCCGCCGGATTAGAACCGAAAGTCATCACATCAAAGGATTCGAGAAGCCGATATTAAGTGGTGGTATTCATGTGAAGAGAATCGCTATAATGCAATAAAGTAATGATGGTATGTAGATGAATAGATTATTGAAGTATTCGTAGTAACCGTACGGAGTAGTATTCGTAATATTGGAGAAGCGAAGTACAAGTACACAGCAGAGTAGAGGATGCATCCACTTCCCACTTCCCATTTCCCATTTCCCATTTCCCATATAAAGTCCACGTTGAGCGGCTACAGAGGAATAAGGGACATTTGCACACGCGCTGGACGAGATTGTGGAAGTCGCGGGCTACCCACACCCAAGTCTTACACATTATCACCAACAATTTCTCATTTACTACTGGATCGCCGGCGCCTATACGCCCCTCTTCGCAATATACATGCATGTGCATGGACCGATGGCGGCTGCACCCATCCGTAAGCTGAATCCAACAATGCCCAACATCAGTGAGCACAAGTACCTGAAGCGGGGCTTCTAGATCACAATCCTCTCCTGCGAGTACTTTCCAACCTTCTTGCTCTTCAGCCGTCCAATATCCCGCGCAGTTCGGCGCTGTAGTTCCCCGCCTGCCCCAATCTTAATCAGCGAGATCAGTTGGTCCGCCTTCAATCCGAAGGGAAGTATGGTCGCATCCTTCCCAACCTGGGCAACGGTAATTGGTTGGTTCTTTCGTACGTTGCCTCCCTTCTGAGAACTGTCTACCTTCTGCTTCTTTGCGCTTACGGGCAGGGCTTTTTGCACAGCTTCGCCGTAGCGAACCATTTCCGAGGTGAGGCCCTTGAGGTAGGTCGCTTCTTCAATGCCTTCCAACGCCGCACTGACCTCGAGCTTTAAGCTGGAGATCAATTCCTCCGACTGGAAGCGATCCCCTCCGGCCAATATTGCGTCCCCAGAAAGCCAACCGCCCGAGCCGATGGCATCGATGCAGCTATTTACTAGACTGGATATGAGGACAATGGTGCTGTCTTGTGAGCCAGTGTCTTCGTCAATGCTATCCACAACGTCCAGGTACTTCGAGGTCCAAGCTCCGCGCGCAAGCTCAAAGCGGAGCAAATAGATGAGAGACACGATCTCGCTTGATGTCAAGTTCGACTGTAGAGCATGCACGACTGCTGCCGAAGGGCAAGAATGAAGCTTAGCCAAAGCCAGGCTCAATGCCTGGCCCCGAATGCTGGCCCCGTCTCCAAGTTGGTATTCCGCCAGGCGCAAGGCTGCATCTGCTTCTTCTATTTCGTTTTCAGTCTCCATATCGCCATTGGAGGCAGGGGTTTCGCTTTCTGTGAGTAGCAGTGGCTTGTCTGCCTTGGTGCCGCCGTCGAGAATCTCGAGGCTCTGCATGAGTACGCGAATGGCGTGCACAAGCTCAGGCGCATCGAGGTAGTTGTTTGAAATGAGGGAAAGGAGAACTTTCATCTCAGGGTCCGTATCGACGAGAGACGATACTAGTTGCCCTGCTGGGACAACATAGGGCTCAGTACTGCGAGCCTCATCCTTCAACGCAGTCTCGATATTGACTTTGTTGAGGTTGCCGGTTTCCAGAAGCCAGTTGACAACATTGTGAGGATAAAATACGACAAGAAGCTTCTGCTCGCCGTTCTGGCTGGACCAACTGAAAACTCTGCTTAATGCGTACTGCACCAAACGTGGGTCGACCTCGAGATACCCACTTCGTGCGGATGGCCATATCCATTCCGGCACAGCCGTTCCATCACTGGGCTTGATGCCTTTAGTAACCGCCAGTCCATTCACAAAAGGCGCGATCTTCCGACGGTACATCTTCAGCTCTTGTGCCATTATTTCTTCAAACCCGTCGATGTCTTGCTCGGCAACACATCGATCGAGCTTTGAGAATTGCTCTTGCATGGTACTGTCGACAGCCGGATTCGACCCAGGGATATATGATGAAAGTGAGCTCAATGGGACTCGGTGCAGCTTTCCGGAACTCCCATCTGTTGCTTGGCGTCTGCCGCAACCCACCGAATCTATGAGCAAACCAAGTTCGCGACGGCGGCTTGGGATATCCTTTCGTGCCTCTATCGAAAATGCTACCAGTTGGCTACCAAGGATTGCGTGCACAAGGTTATGCTTTGTAGAATATGCCACCAGCTCGCACTGTTTCGAACTTGAATCGTCGGCGTCATCTAACTTCCGCTTTCGGGAGGCAGTCTCTCCCTGGATGCTGTCTAGGTTGGTGGATGCTTGGATAGAATGGTATATAGGGTTGTAAATATCGACGGTCTCGTTCGTGGCTGTCATTACGGATGTGCTGCAAAGTCGTAAGAATGATGCTACATTGTCGATATTAAGTTGAGATTTGATCTTGATCGTACCATCCACCAAGTCGTAGATTAGGAGTGACCTGGTACCAAGCTCGTACAAAAACCCGGATGGAACATGAATATCGTATTGTAATTTGCCGAAATCCGACAGCGGCTGCGAATGAAGCCACGGAATTGCCACAGAGAGTAAGGTCTGGACCGAGTGTACCTGGTTGGTAGACCCACTATCTCCAGCCCGAGGAAGAGCCAGAACATGAAGCGTGCGGTTGTCAGACCCAGTGGCATCTATTGGGCTTGATATGAGGACAAGAAGGGTTGGGTTAAACGCACTGGCATCCACATCTTCCGAAAAGATTGAAAATGCGTCAGGCTGTCCCTTGAGGAGCCCCTTGCTGGCGGTATGCGCATCGGTGAGGTTGACGAGCTCAATCTTGTGTCCAAAGTTGGGCGCGGCAGAGTTTTTGCTCACGGCGGCAGACGGAGATGTCCATTTGAACTTTAGATCCTCCCCATCCAAGCACTGTATCTCTCCATCCGACTTTACAAGAAGTAGGTTGTCACTGGACGATCCAATTTGTTCTGGGGCAACGCCGAGGAACACAACTGGTTTGGTCGAACCTTCAACAATGTGGATCGCACTTGACGAATCGGCATGGCCTTCTGCTGTTGTCGTCTCTCGAAAGACTGTGACTCGAGGAGTATTTTCTGTTGTAGATGCGTATGTCCTTCTCTCAACAAGCCCTTTGCCCTGCTTCAATCTTAGAGAGTATGGCGCGCAAGTGATCAAAGCCTGCGGAGGGAGAGCGTAGGAAGTGACGAGTTTTGACGATTGAATCTTGATTGAAGTTAGCAAATTGTTAATGAAGGAAATTCCTTGAAGGAGATTCCTTGAAGGAGATTCCTTGAAGGTTACTCACATCGTACAAATTCACACCTTCACCACTAATTCCCACAACCAACTCTGCTCTCTTACGCTTTCTCGAGCCTGGCGTCCCACCATGAACATCAGAAACAAAATAACGGCCGGTGGAATGGTCGACAGGTCGAGGAAGTGAGGCCACTACAAGTGACTTCTCAATCGTAACGGTGGACGACATATTGGCGCTACGCTTCAAGTGCGTAAAAATATATACAGGTGAAGTCTTCCAGAGCGGTGACTTTCATTATCACGAACTTCCCAAAACTTTTTGGAGAAAGTTTGACCCGAGATATTTGTCACCTAATATATCAGGTCAAACTTTAATTTTAGTGGGGCTGATCGTGAAGCTCGGACATCTCGCGACGTCTTCCAAGAGGAACCACTTTGGCTGAATTTCGAACATTGTCGGCCATAGAAGGACAATACTCTCTGAAAACACCATTGCCAAAGTCAGCCGAGACATGCCAATTGCCTGTAATATCTGCATTGCCATTAAATTTATAAAATCACCATTTACGCCATATCCATCACCATATCTTAATTCTGAGTGACGCGAAGTTCGCGTATAGAGGGAAGTGAATGGGCGGACTCAGGTCGTGGAATGGCAGTGGTGACTGCCAGAACAATGGTGGATACTAATGAAAGGAAGAAAACTATCCATCCCTTATTTGGCAAACCGAACTGTATGTTTACTACTCACTTCCGAGCCATGCATTTGGTAGCATGGCGTGTTAACGTTTCTGGTTCGCAGCTTCAAACCCAGCCTCAACTTCACCGAGCGACCTGCCACATACTGCACGACCAGGCACTGCCGAACCAAGCACACATACTCCACCATCAGCATCGTTAGACAATGTGCGCGACGATGTGTGGCCTACACCCCTTGAACCTCACCCAGGGCAGTATGAAGGGGCTGTTTTACCAACCACCACACATCAAAATAGTGAAGGTATGGAGTCAGATCTAAACGAATCTCGACGGAAGAGACGAAAGACGATACCGCCAGAGGACAATAGTGGGCGGAATTATCATTCCAAGCTCGAAAATGCAGCGACCTCGAGAGGTTCGAACGGCACCCTCTCACCCTGTTATGGAGCACTGGGAGAAGCACTTCACAATGTTCCCGGCGGATTGGGCTTCGAAAACGCTCATGGAGCACCATTCCAGACTCATGGTTTTGAGGGCCAGGCGGATTCCAACCTAAATACATTGGAGGCTATCAGGCCCAATACTATAAACACCATTGCGAATGGAGAGCAAGCCACTTCGGAGCCGGTCGGAAAGCTAATGGAACTTATTACATGCAACGAAAAGCCGAAGAAAATACTTCACTTCAACATAAAAACAGGCACAATTGGCTCTCCACCCAAGCGGTCCATCAAGGACCAGGCACCTTCAAAGGGCCGCAAAAATCGCAAATCGCTAGTTATTACATTGAAATACGGGTCGGATACAGGCACCCGGTTGAGTGTAGGGAACAAGATCGACCACATATTGAGCGCTACCAAGCCAATACAGGCCCCCCCGAAGCAGAAATTTGAGGTCGAAGCTCGTCCCGTGAAAGCCAACATAAGCAAATCCCCACATCCGTTTTTCCTTGGTAAAGCCGCGGAGAAGCCCAGTAGGAACGGAAGCAACAATACTTCTACCGAGCCTACCGCAGCTGTCCCCCAACAGGCAGCCTTGTGTCGAGCGCCAGCAACAGGCCGCCCGCTTCACGCTCCCAGCTGCCCACCTCCCAACGCCAATTCCTTCGCTGGTTTTGGAAACTCCAATAGTCTCATGAAGTTCCCGGGGGCAGTCGAACCAATATGGCCACCTAGCGGAATGACCCATATCAGAGGTCTAGAGAATGACCCCTCGCCGACTCCAGCGGCAGATCCGTCGAAGTTGCTCAAATCCGAAAATCACAAATCTAAATATACGGCTAGTGAGGCCACCGCCAACGAAGATATTCTAAATGTTATAGCCATCAAGCTCGAAATAAACGCTGTGCGAAAAGATAGCGCTAATCGCTTCAATGCACCAGATAGATGCCTTCGTGTGCCAGAACGCCACTTTGAATCGGGATACAAGCTTCAGCGACGTATCAGGCCGCAGTTAAAATCTGCTGTGACCTCAGGACGCTTCACAGATGATTACAGTGAGGACGAACTTAGCAGAGTCAGCCCGGGCTCTTCTCCTCACCCAGTGATCAATAAGCTATTTGGCAGCATACCCACAACTCTAAGCGCCTTTGACAAATCACAATATCAGACTCAGTCATGGATACACAAATATGCGCCACATTCAGCAGCAGAGGTTTTGCAAAATGGAAGAGAGGCTTTCATACTGAAAGAATGGCTACAATCCCTGACTGTTATTGCTGTTGATACGAAAGTAACTGACTCCAGCAATACTCGAGCCTCGCCTGGGCCTGTAAAGGCGGAAAAGGATAGTGGAGGCAAGAAGAAGCGGAAGTCGAAGAAGCTGGAAGATTTCATTGTGTCTAGTGACGATGAAGCCAACGATATGGATGAAGTATCCGAATCCGACGAGGAATCTCCACGAGGCGGCCTTGGCAGACCGAAAAAAACTGTTATTCGACACGGTGATCTGAAGTCGATGAGCTCTAAGCAGCCAAACAAGCTCTTAAACGCAGTTGTGATAAGCGGACCAAATGGATGTGGCAAAACTGCCGCTGTTTACGCTGTGGCAAAGGAACTTGGTTTCGAGGTATTTGCGATTAACTCTAGCAGTCGAAGGAGCGGCAAGGATATCCTTGAGAAGGTTGGAGATATGACAAGGAATCACTTAGTGCAGCAAACGCAAGAGCAGAAATCGGACGGTAGTGAAGACCTTCAACGCGCTTCGGATGCTCTTGATGCGGATCTAAAGAGCGGTCGGCAAGGGACAATGAAGACCTTTTTCAAATCTACTGCACCAAAGGCTAAGGAGCCAAAAGCAAAAAATGCAAAGCCAGGCTCAGAGAATACTTCGCATTCAACAGATCCAACTCCAGCAAAAAAGCCAAAGCAACAGAAGCAGTCGCTGATTCTCCTTGAAGAGGTCGATATTCTCTTTGAGGAAGATAAGCAGTTCTGGGCGACAGTCCTGACCTTAATATCACAGTCTAAGCGACCAATTATCATGACTTGCAATGATGAGTCTCTCGTTTTGAACCAACTTTTGCCATTGCACGCAATAATTCGGTTTGCACCACCCCCTGTTGACCTTGCAGTCGATTACATGCTACTGGTGGCTGCAAACGAAGGTCATGCCCTGAAGCGACCAGCAGTCACAGCTTTGTATAAATCGCAGAAGTTCGATCTTCGAGCAACAATGACGGATCTCGAATTTTGGTGCCAGATTGGTGTGGGTGACCAAAGGGGTGGCTTCGATTGGTTTTACCCCCGCCTGCCGGCTGGCATCGATAAAGATTCCCATGGCAACACTGTCAGGGTTGTGAGCGAGGACACTTATAGGAATGGTATGGGCTGGTTAGGACGGGATTCGTTGTGCGATCCGTCCGGCATCAACGATATCGAGGAGGAAATCATCAAGCAAACGTGGAATGGATGGAAACTCGACGCTGGAGACTGGTATAAAACACTTGACCTTGGCTCATACGCCGGCAAACCCGTCGAGCTCTCAAAGAGGAAACGCCTCAAGGCCCTTCAATCATATGACATCTTCACCGATGCCATGAGCGCCGCCGACCTCTGTGCTTCTGGCACACTAAACTCATCCAACTACGTGAGCTCTCCCCCCTACCCACCTGTACACACCATTACTAACGCCTGATAGATCCTCCTCGACACTACCGACCCTCCAATAAGTGCCAAATCCCTCGCCGACCTCCCTATTGGCTCCGCCTTCCTTGCCGCCACTCCCCTCTCCCCACCCTCCCTTCCACTCGTCCTATCAGGAACCCTCAAATCCCTCGCCCGCTCCTACGCCAACAGCTCCCTCCCTCGCCCCATTCGTACTGGCCTGTCCCCAGTCACCGAGCCCCAACTTCTCACCCACATCACCCAGTCCCGCTCTTCCCCTCCAGGCTGTATCTCATGCGCCCACTACAGCCTAGCCTTTGATCCCCTCGGAATCCCCGAGAAACCACTCTTTCCGCCTCCGTACCTCGAAGCGTCGTGCGTGGACCGCCCCATGGCGCTGCTCGCTACGGATATCGCGCCTTATGTGCGCGGCATTGTGGCGTGCGATGCCAGGGCAGCGCGGGAGCGAGTTAAGGCGGGCAATCTGGTGAGTGAAGGGGAAAGAGGGAAGAGGCCACGAACAACGAGGGCGGCTATGGCGGCGCTGTGGGGTGGAGGGAGGAGAGTGAGGAGGGAGTGGTGGTTTGAGGGGGTTGGAGTGGGGGAAGTGGAAAGGACAGGGGGTGATGGGTGGGGTGATCTTGTTAGTGGTGGTGGTCAGGCAGAGGAGATGGTGTGGTCGAGAGAGGGAACTGTTTGAGTCGGCAAGGTGATGAAGGTTGAGATATGATATCAGATCTGCTGAAGAAACTTTATGTATGATTCGGTGCTGGGGTTTACTGGCTGGCTGCTTTTGGTGGATGGATGGGCATTTGCATGACTGGCCACTGATTGGTAGTGGATGGAGCATTTACAACACATAGCATAGCATAGCATAGCATAGCATAGCATAGCATAGCATAGCATAGCATAGCATAGCATAGCATAGCGGGGCAATCAAGAAGTTCGATCGAAGCCCCACCCCTCTCTCGTCCCGAACCGCGCCTATCGCCTTCCTTCACATGGACAGTTAACGGGGGAAAGAACAGCCACCAACCGCATCAGAGTGGAAAGCCTAGCAAAGGCTGTGCCATCGAAACAATTTCACAGCCACAGTCCGTGATGTGTTGGGCAAAGACCAAGGCTCTACGCTCAATTCACGAGTCGCTATTATTGGTCCCAGACCCTTGTCTCAGGCAACCAACCTGGTTGTTCGCCCTACACTGCAGCCTCATATAATCCTCCGATGGGTACTATATCCTCCTGGTCGTTCGCCCCACGCTGCAGTCTCACATAATCCTACGATGGCTACTTTATCCTCCTGGGTGTCCAGATACGGGTGGCATCGTGCCACTTGCAAAATGGATCCGTTGTCCATCTGCGCAAGTATAATGGCCCTTTGCCAGGCCCTGACTGCTATCACTGCCGGGATTCGGGAGGTCGCTACCGTTATAGCGGCTCCCCACGAGATATCGGATCTACATAATGAGGTGGGTGAATTATTTACTTACGATCAGTAGCACTCCCCGGGCTACTACTGACAGTTTTCTAGCTCGAAACTGTTTATGGTTACTTGGAGATTTCTTATTGATTTCCCTCGCAACTCCATACATCTTGATGACACTGGATCGTAAGTGTAGTCCCACTACTAATTTAGTTATACCTAATAACTCTTAGTTCTCCCCATGCTATGGCCAAGTGGCGACTTGTAGTGGATAAAAAAGATCTCCACGAAGATGCCGCACACATCTATAATCGAATAATCAGCCAGAGCAAGGAGTATTCACATACAACAGTTCTGCACGATGTGGTACTCGGATATCAAAATATGAGCCTAACAGCAGCTCTTGAGCTTGATCCCTCATCTATTAACATGATCAACGACTGCGGATGCAATCCGTTGCACTGGGCCGCCTGGAAAAACGATATCAGCGCTGTTAGCCTTCTACTCTCTTGGAAAGCTGACCTAGACGTGAGAGACCATGAAGGCAGGACTGCCCTGTCAATTGCCGTCGCCGCCACAAAACTGCAGTGTACTGAGGTACTGATAGAAGCTGGAGCAGATGTCAACGCCAAGGATAAATGGAACTGGACACCATTGTTCCTAGCTACAAGTGAGTAGTCTGTGGAGATGGTGAAGCTGTGCTAACAATGGAGCTAACCCGCTGTAACGGGTGCCGCCGTTACAGTACATGTGGTATATAAAGCGTGTTATGCGTATTCCGGGCGAGCCGGAATTCTGTAGTCTTTTTGGCTCAGTGAGATGTAGCGCGAGCGTAACCGTACATCATGAAAGCGCCAGCGGCGCCAGACCGGACAGAAACCACAATACGGACACCAAGAGTTCAGGTTCTGTTGTCCCTCGGGTCATAGTGACAGCTATGGCACAGGGAAAGGGTGCCTACAGTGCTGCGACCGAACCTCTGACGGACTTCATCAAAACCCTTCAGGCGGCTGACGAGCTTGCTGTTGAAAGGGCCAAGGACGCAGGAACGGCGCGAGCAGAGGACCCTCCAGGATGGAGAGTAGACGATGCAGGCATCCTACGCTTCAAGGGGGCGGTCTACGTACCCCCCAATCAGGCATTACGTATTGAAATCTTCAAGATTTGCCATGACGACCCATTAGCTGGGCAATTCGGGTATAAGAAAACCCAGAAGTTGATCCGACGTAAATACTTCTGGCCTGGCCTTGACCAGGAAGCCAGGGAATATGTACGTAGCTGCGATATGTGCCAGCGGATCAAGCCTGTACAGCATAGACCGTACGGCGAAATGCAGGCATTAAGGATGCCCACAAAGCCCTTCGAATCCATAAGTATGGACTTCATTACGGACCTACCTCCAAGCATAGAGGTAGGCCAAAGTAAGGCCTCAGATTCCATCCTGGTCATTGTGGACCGATACACCAAAGTATCCAGGTATATACCCTGTAGGAAGACCATTACAGCCCCAGAGCTGGTGTGCCTATCCCTTGCGTATTTGGTTAAAGACTTCGGAATACCTGCTGAAATAACGGACCGGGGCAGCATTTTTACGTGCCACTTCGGCTTTCTGTTTCTACCTCAAAGTATGGCGTAACCTCTCCACCGCTTTCCACCCTCAATATGACGGCCAGACTGAGAGGCAGAATCAGAATATCGAAGCCTACTTGCAGATACACTGTAATCAGCACCAAGACAACTGGGTGGAACTCCTCCACTTCGCGGAATTGACCTACAATAACGCCTTCCACGATTCCATCCAGATGTCGCCAAACCAGGCCTGATACGGCATCAATATAGACCTAAGACAAGGGATTGAGGACGACCCCACCAGAAGAGAAGTGCCAGTCGCGAAAGATCGCGTCAACCTGATCCTAGAATTGCGACAGGAGCTCGAAGAGGCATGGAAACAGACAAAGGAAGCACAAATACGAGGCTATAACAAGCTACACAAGCCAATGCAGTATATGGTAGGAGAGAAGGTGTGGCTATCGGCCAAGAATATCAGGACCACCCAGCCAAGCAGGAAGCTGGGGCACCAGTGGCTTGGGCCGTACGAGATCATCCAGCGGATAGGTAAACAAGCATACCAGCTGAAGCTTCCACCACGATATAAGGCGATTCATGGCATATTCCACGTCTCCCTACTTGAGAGGTACTGGGAAGGCATAGAGAAGGCTGATCCTCCACCCGACCCAGAGATCGTGGATGGGGAAGAAGAATACAGGGTTGAAGCAGTCCTAGACCACAGGACTGTGCGAAAGGGCAGAGGAACTTGAGAAGAATACCTGATTAGGTGGGCAGGATACACTGCCGCTGACGATCAGTGGGTTCCAAAGCTCGACGTAGGGCTAACGTTAATTGAGGCATATCACAAGTGTCACGGTTCACCAAGGCATAGGGCGCCAGTTGGGTATTATGAATTAAACTCAATCTAGAGAAGAAAGGAAAGAGAAGAGGAGCACTCGAGCAGTGGCTCGATCTATATACAGCTATGTTGTTGTGGAGTGAATTCTCTTTAGCGAGACCAGTTCTGAGAATTCACTCCACAACTGAAAACTTCGCTCCAACCCCGGAAAGCTCCCCACACCCCTGAACCCCCACTCGAGCTGCAAGGCGCACTTGATATCGTAACACTACCCCCCCCCCTACTCCAGAGTTGATCTCCTGATCAAGAAATCCCATTTTCAAAAAAAAAAACAATTGTCTCCAGCTCTCATTTTGGTTTCTGAGGGTATTTTCTGTGATATGCTTGGGTAACTTCTGGAGAATTTTCAAAGCTCTCTGCAGTATACCATGTCTCATCCGGTGGATAGTTCTTCCAAGCTGCCTTGTAGAAAAGCTTCTTTCGAATAACTTTTGAGTCGAGGATTTCGTCCACTTCCCACTCCTCTTCGCCATTGACAATGACTGGAGGCTCTGGCTCCTGTTGCTGCCCTTCGATTGCATCATTCGAGTCAAGTCTTAATAGATTGGCATGAAATACTGGATGAATCTTCATGCTGTTTGGAAGTTTGAGCCGATATGCAACTTGCCCAATTCGCTCTAGAATTTCAAAAGGTCCCACTTGCTTGTGGTCTAGCTTCTTTGATGGCCTCTGTGTCTTTATATTTCGAGTTGAAAGCCATACTCTGTCTCCCACTTGATAGCGTGGTGCAGGTTTCCTTTTCTTGTTTGCGAAATGTTCCATTTTTGCTTGCGAGAGCGTGATTTCATCCTGCAGAAACTCCCAAACCTTTGCCATGGTCTGAGCTATGTTCTTGTGCTCTTGTTTGGCTTCGTGATATGCTTGCTGCTCTGTATCAAAGCTCATTCTTGGTTCATAGCCCTTGTTCGCAAAAAATGCACTTGTCTTGGTTGCATCTGATGGCAAACTGTTGGCAGCAAACTCCGCCATGCACAAGTATGAAACCCAATTGTCTTGAAGATAGTTCACATGAGCTCGCAAGTAGCGTTCGAGCTCTGCATTGAATCGCTCAGTCTGTCCATCTGTTTCTGGGTGGAAGGCAGTTGAAAGTTTGGCCGAAATTTTCCAAATTTTGCAGAGCAAACTCCAGACTTCTGCAATGAACTGAGGACCTCTGTCTGATATTATCGAGTTTGGTAGACCATGGTGCTTCCATACATGTCGAAGTAAGAGCTGTGCTGTAGCTTCTGCAGTAGTCCCTTCTTGCCCAGCGAAACACGGAATGAAATGTCTTTCTTTCGTCAACCTGCATGCAACAACCAAGATAGCATTGTTCCCTTCACAGAGTGGTAATCCTGTCACGAAATCCATTGATATATCCATCCATGGTCGACTGTCAATAGGGATTGGTTGTAGAAGTCCATTGTAGGAATCTCGAGATGGTTTCGATCTTCGACAACTATGGCAGTTTTTGATATATCGAATTATTGTTTTGTCCATGTTTGGCCAGTAATAGTGCTATTTCATGACTCGCAGCATCTTTCCAGCTCCTGGATGTCCCATAGAAGGTTGTTCATGAACTTCTCTCAACAAGTCCACCTGAATGGTTTCTGGCACCCAAACTCGATTTTGATATTCTAGCATGCCGTTTTTGAGTTCGCAATAAGCCAATGCAACCTCTTTGCTTGTTCGATCACCATTCTCAAGCTTCTGTAGTGTAGCCTTGCAGAATTTGTCTTCCAGTTGAGACTTTTGGATTTTCTCAAGAATTGTCATTTCTCTGATATGAGTTTCCACTGGAGCTAGCTGAGCTGTTTGGCCTTGTTCTTTGAGTTTCTGAATGTCTGGATGTAGCCTCGAAGGTGGTAGTAACACCTGAAGCTGTTGCTTTTGTCGATCATCCTCATCATTGCCTTCTGGTCTGTCACCAGGCCTTCGAGTCAAAGCATCTGCTTTTCCATTTTGCTTCCCAGGCCTATAGATGATCTGGAAGTTGTATTGAGAGAGGAATTCAGCCCATCGAGCTTGTCTTCTTGTCAGCTTCTTGGTGGACATGAAGTTCCAAGCTTTTGTGATCAGACAAGACTTGGACTGGAAAATCTGTCCCTTCAAGTTCTGGTCTCCATGCTTCGAAACATCTGATGATTGCAAGCAATTCCTTGTCATATATCTCGTAATTGCATTCTGCAGGTGCTAGCTTTTTCGAGAAGTATGCCACTGGATGTAGAACCCCTTGATCATCTTTTTGTGACAAGACTCCTGATGAGATGAAGTCTGAGGAATCTTCTTCGACATAGGCTGTCTTGTTTCTATCGAAATGCCTCAAGACAGGAGCTTCTGTGACTGTTTGTTTCAACAGCTCGAATGCAGTTTGGCATGCATGAGTCCATTCGAATATCTGATCCTTTCTGGCAAGGTTCACCAATGGCCTCATGATGCTGGAGTAATTTTGGATGAACCTTCGATAGAAATTGCAGAATCCAATGAAAGCTTGCATATCCCTGAGCGATTTTGGAGTTCGCCATTCCAACATAGTAGAAACCTTTGCAGGGTCCATGCGAATGCCATTGACTCCCACGATGAGTCCTAGGAATTTGGTTTCTTGGACGAAAAACTCACATTTTGAGATATCTGCTTGCAGTCCAGCTTCTCGAAGCTTCTGTAGGACTTTCCTTATGTGCTTTGTATGCTCCGCTCGAGTAGCACTGTAAATAAGAATGTCATCCATGTATGCGGTGACGAATTGGTTGAGGTAATCCATGAGGATTTCATTCATGTACCTCTGGAATGTTGCTGGACCATTTGTGAGTCCGAAGGGCATGACCTTGTATTTGTAGGATCCAAATCGAGTTCTGAATGTAGTGAGGTCTTCATCTTCTTCTGTCTGCATTCGAATTCGATTGAAGGCATGTCGAATGTCCAGTTTGGTGAGATATTTTGCTCCTATGACTTGGGCCAGTGTTTCATCAATGAGTGGTATGGGATATCGATCCTTTTTTGTTATGGCATTTAGCTTCCTGTAGTCAACACAGAATCGAAGACCACCACCTGGCTTTCTCACAAACATAATGGGTGAAGAGTATGGGGCTTTGCTTGCTTCAATGAACCCTTTTGGCAAGTGCTCGAAAACATATTCTTCAACCAAATCAAGTTCTTCCTTTGACATATTCCAGAGTGGTGCATATCCCAGCTTTGCATCACCTTCGAGTTCAATATGATGGTCTGAAGGTCGATGGGGAGGTAGCTTGTCTGCTGCCATTTTTGAAAAAACATCCAAAAATTCATGAAATTCCTTCGGAAGGATCAGTCGAGAGTCAATTTCTTCAGTTTTGGTCTTGTTCTTGTGCTCGATTATGTCCTTCATTGATATAGCAAAGACTTGAGCTCCTCTTTGCTTTATGAGCATTCGAAATGGTGCTGCGCCAATCATTGCTATGGTGCAAGGTTTTGGTTTTTCCACTTTCGGAGCAGGTTCCGGAGGAGACATTTCTTTGGCTTTCTTCTTTGGCCTTTGTCTTTCGCTTTTAGATATAGGCTCTTTTTTGAGGGCTCGATCTGGTATAGAATGGTTCCAATAATATCCAGTGAAGAGGACTTGATCATTGATCATATCGAGAACAACTCCATGTTGCTTCATCCAAGCTTTCCCGAGAATGATGGAATGTTTTCCCAGCGAAGTGATGAATAATGGACATAGGCCTTCCACATGCTCTCCCACTTGCAGTCGAGGATATATAGCATGTGTGATAGCAGGGGCAGCCTCTCCATTGAATCCTTCAACTTGTTCTGGCTTCACAAGTTCGACTGGGGCTATCCCTTCGATTTCACATATTCTTTCTGCATCAGCAGCATTAATGAAGTTTCCACCTGTGGCACCAGTATCGATCAATGCATGGACAATAGCTTTGTATTTTCCTATTCTACAAGTAGCTAAGAAAGGGGTGTCCGGATCAAAACTGGATCTCGAGGAAGAAGCTGCAATTCTGGCTGCACTGGCTCTAGTGATGACTTGTCTAGAGGCTATTCGTTTTCCGAATCGATGATAGACTCAGCTGTAGATACCTCATTCACTTGAGATTTGAGCTTCTGGGGACAGTCTCGAGCTCGATGTCCATTTTGTCGGCATAAGAAGCATTTCCCAAGTTTCATGAGCATTTCTTTTGCTGGATCTTGATGCGGTGGTCGATACAGCTTCTGCGTCTTGTTTTGCATGTTGGAATCCATTGTAGGTTGAGGGATTGAAGTTCGAAGTGCCTGGCCCTGATTTTAAGTTTGGCCCATGTTGTTTTGAAAATGACTTTGGCTTCCTTTTGTCTTCTTGTTCCTTGATCCGCTGAATGTTGTGGTCGATGAGCATGAATTTCTTTGCAAACTCGTGAAGTGTAGTAGCTCCAACTTCAGCCACTAAGGCTTTCTGCATCTGTTGGTTGACTTTGAAGCGCAAGTCATCCAGCAAAGTTTCTTCAGAGTAATCAAGCTCTGTCGTGAGCCTTTGGAACTCAGCCCAGAACACTGCAAAGGTGTTGTTTCTCTGATACAGCTTTCGATACTCAGTTTGAGCTGTGTGCCTTCGATCGGGATCACTGAAGACTTTTTCCAAAAGTTCGAGAATTTCTTCTGCTGTCTGCAATTTGTTTGTAGAGTTTGGTCAAAGCCTTTGATTGACATGTCGAACTGCCAGTCCTCCCAGTCGACTCTGAATGTAGCTCATTTGTAAAGTCTGTGTTGGAAAATGATCAATGTTGGCTTCGAGATTGAGGTGAATTTTCACAACCCAGTCTTCAAATGCTGGCTCTATCCCATCTGTGAGGATTGGAGGGTCTGGAATCCGAGCTGACAGTCGACTGTGAGAGTGGTGTCCTGGTTCATTCTTCAGAGCTTGTTGGGTTTGCTTTTCAAGATATTTCTGAATTGTTTGTTGCTCTGTGATTTGTTGCTCGTTGCTCTGGATCAGTTCCTGTAACTGGAGAATGGCATCATCCTTTTCAGCCAGTATCGAATTCGAGTCCTCTGCTAGGGCCAAATAGTCCCGAAGAATGTTCTTGTGCAAAGTCCATGCCATTTTCTGGTTGGCGACAGATAGTTTCTGGAATTCGTCAAAGGTTTCAACATTCCATTCAGCCTTTTCATGTCGATTTGCAAGTATAGATTCATGTCTCTCTTGAGCTGTTTTGCCCAGAGTGTGAAGGAAGGTTTCGGATTTGAAATTAGGATCATGAAGTTCATTGGTTTGGTTTGCAGAGCTTGGCATTGATGCTCCTTCTGCCAGGGATTCCTGGTCTTGTTCTGGATCATTTCGAGCTGCCATTGCAGCTTTTTCTTCAGCTGTATAAGCCATAGCGAGTTGCTATTTCAATTTCGGTTTATATCGTCAAGTCAGACACATATTGCCAAAGGCCCTATTGTGCAGTTGTTGGCCGTAGGAGCCACTCGAGAGGAGCGCACTTCCCTCACAGTTATATCCTTGTCGAGGGAGCATTGTAAAAGGTCTGACTTGCGAAGGTGGTGTGTGTGTGTCGAGCTGACTGTCGAAAGCCAACTTTGAGGGGTTGCCTTGAGATCGTCCTGGAATCGACTTCAGGATAAGGTTTCTGGTTCTGGGGTTTTCAAAGAGTGGATTTCGATTTCGATTTCAGAAGAGGGTTCAGCTCAAAGAGCAGGAAAAGAGGTATAAGAGAGATTGAGTTTTAGGTCACGGTTCACCAAGGCATAGGGCGCCAGTTGGGTATTATGAATTAGACTCAATCTAGAGAAGAAAGGAAAGAGAAGAGGAGCACTCGAGCAGTGGCTCGATCTATATACAGCTATGTTGTTGTGGAATGAATTCTCTTTAGCGAGACCAGTTCTGAGAATTCACTCCACAACTGAAAACTTCGCTCCAATCCCGGAAAGCTCCCCACACCCCTGAACCCCCACTCGAGCTGCAAGGCGCACTTGATATCGTAACAACAAGGAGCAAGTGTAACCTATAGACTACAGAAAGAAGAAAGTGTCAGAGTCCAACGAGGAACCACTACCCTCAGAAGAGGGCGACAACGACGACAACGCAGAAACCAACCCACCACCCACTAGCGAAGGGGACCCGACTGCCACAGGAGGACGGGCGTTGTACACCCATTTCTCTAGTCCCACAAACATCCGCTCAAGAAGGGCACGATCGCGATCCACTGGCGCAGGCACAAGGATAGGGCCTGCTGGCGAAGGCGCAAGAGGCGTGGGCCTCACTTGAACTGCGGGAAGGGTCAGTAAGACGTCCAGGAAGAAGACCCAGGTAGCTCAGGCCCCTCCACCTCCTCCTCCACAGAAGGAGAGTGGTAGGGGCAGATAGCGTGAGGGCATTGGCTCAATGCAACAGATCCAGGACGTTGGTTCGGCATGACAGACCCAAAGGGAGTGGGCGTCATGGGTGCCTCGCGGTCAGAGGAACCAAGCATCTCTGCTGCAGAATGTTTCTTCAGCACGAAGGGAAGCTTCTTGGCTGGTGGCTGGCGGGGTCCCATGGTAAAGGACTGCGCGAGCAAGGGAAGTAGGAACGTCTGCTTCACCAGTCAGCCTCTGAGGAAGGAAAGGAAAGGAGGAAGGACACACTCACTGAAGAAGGTGTAGATCCTGGATAGAAGCTCAACCAACTGAAGATCGAAGAGCGAGAGCATAGGAAAAAGGTGGACAAGAAGAAGGAAGGTGGGCGCGACCGCCTACGGAGCGGCCACCAACCAACAACAAGGGGGGTCACAGGACCACCCTGCCTAGCGACCACCCCAAGGATTAGGGCGAACAGCCCAAACAAACACAGAAGGCCATACTCGTTGCCGCCTCAGAATTGAGGACAATCCCACAGAAGGGGAGGCAATTGTAAGGCGGCCCATCATGTGAGGCCGCCCTGAACTCAGGGCTGCCTGGCAGTGGAGCCACTAGGGCTCGGTAAACTAGGACATGTAGGAACATAGGATATAAGGAGCTGGAAGCCTCAGAAGGAGGCCTTCAGCTGATAGTTGCTGTACATATGTAGACGTACTGTCTTGCAATACAATCTCACTTCCTGCCTTCTGACCTGGTTCCCTGGACTCCCGTGAGACCCTAGGGACTGCGCTTTACACCCACAAGCGATGGATGATGACAACGACACAGCTCTCAGCTCCCCAATATATGCCCGCAGTGTGGTTGAAAACACCATTCTGGTGAAGATGTATGCCGAGCTCGCCAGCGCAGGTGCCGATATGGATTTTCCTAATAATGACGGGAGAACCCCAATCATGAAGACGGTCAGGGCGAATAAGCCTGAGATGTTCAGGGCCCTGTGGCTGAATGGCGCAGGTGTCGACCTGATTGACTTGCATGGCCAATCTGTTCTCCACCTGGCGGGGATGTACTCCAACCTTGAGATCATCGTAGAGCTGCAGATGGTGGAAATATGCATCAACCCGAATCTGAAGGATGACCAGGGTCAAACAGCAGTGGATTATTTTTGCGAACGTACCAATACACCGAGGCGCTCTGAAGGGAGATTGACCGAGCAGGAGATTTTAGATTTTGAAGCACTCATCGAGAAGACAGCGAGCTATGACGAGTGGATTGGGAGCAAGCAAGTCTAAGAGCAGGGCCAGAATTTCCAAGATTTAAATGAGCCAAAGTTATGCTTCTTGTAAACATGCTGGATACAGTTGATTGGTTGGTTACTAATACCACGATTGTTTCATTGCTATCACTCTCCATCAATCCCAATAGCCACAGGCGATCTAACCCAACTCAAACTGGCATTACCTGCAAGGAGCCCTGAAGTCTTACCTGTGACATGCGGATCTTCGCCAAGAAAGTTATGTGGGAAGCCAACATCAAATGGCTTCATGCTCTCTAGGTGCGCAATCTGTTCCAGTGTCAGCTGGAACTTGAGCGCCTGAATGTTGTCCTTCAGATGCTCAACCTTCCTCCCACCAACCAAAGGAAACACCTATGGTCCTTTGGACATGAAGTATGCGAGCGCAACAGCTGTAACAGATTCAATCCCATGCTCTGCTGCTACTTTTGCTGCCTCGCTCATCTTCGCCTACTCTATGGTGGTTTTCAGTGCTATGGCTGATGTAGGCATGAGGGGTATCCTTTAGCATATGCAGCTGCTGACGCTGCCTACCGTTGCTATCATGGAATGTGCACCTGCGCTTGATATGCAAATCGCTCTTCACCAGGTTTTGTATAGCCCTACAGGGGTTATAGTGGAAGCCATTGCAGAACACGGCAAAGGACGACAGGAAGACAATGTAGCTGCCAAGATCGAAGCCCTGGACTGACTGGGACGTAGGCACGTCATCTAGGTGAATGCATATGTTTTTGGGTTGGGAAGTGCTCCCGTCGAGTCCTTCAAAGCTATTGCGTAGAGTATTGGACGCTTTCGGTTCGGAAACTGGCATATTATTAGGGGCCGGAAAGCTTTTCCCAGAAATCCCGCAAGTACGATTGGGCCTGAGAGGTGCGACGTCCATGAGGGTTGCCAGTAGCGGGTGGTGATACCCATCCACACTTGTAGCATGGCGTGCTGCTGCATCCTCTGAGCAACCCCCGAAGTCGCCGGTAAACTGCTCGCAAAGGAATTCGGTGACACGTTCCAAGTTAGACATGTCGGGAAGAGGCAGGTCTTGTTTGAGGGGAAGTTCTATGGCCTCATCGAGGTCTTGCTCGTAGTTGGGATTGTCCGCTACATCAGAACCATCGGAGAGGGATAGCTCACCATCAGCCACATCAGCGGAATAGTCAGGATCGATAGACCCTTCATCAACCAACCTCTCCAAGTTCCCATAAGTATAGCTGGCGGGTCGACTAGCAGTCATCGGTGGGGTATTCCCGTAGCCAGACACGACTTGGACCTGGCTCTCCATCTGATAGGTCGTACAGGTCATCATTTACAGACATAGAGACAAGATAGTCCTCCGAGGGTATGTGCCGAGAAGACGATTGCTGTATGGATTGCGGGCTGCTGCCCTCAGCCGCTTGTGTGTCCTCAACTATACTCTGGCGGCGCTTTATACCAACGGCAAGTCTAGCAGCAAAGCAGCTCATGATACTCGGACGATTAGTTGCAGTCGATCTATGGAGACCAGCCGTGCGATGTGGGGTCAAAAGGTCCATTGTCATGATGTCCCATGGTTCTGAATGTTCTACGAATGCCAATACAGAATTTGGGCGTTGACTGTCATACTGACATTCGTTGCACTCAGTTTGCTATCAAACTCAAGAGCAAACTTAGAAATCTCCTCCTCAAACCTACAAGTCAACATACATATCTTGGCTTATCACACCAACAACAGAAGCAATACTACTCAACAATTGCTGCAAACTCTTCTACTACATCTGTTTATGCTACATACATCACAGCATATCATTTGGACACTCATTGAACAAGTTACTAAGAAAATCTCCTCCTTAAGGGGATGGGCCAATACTACCACATGGCATATCTCTACCAACTAGAGGCCTAGGAACATGAACGATAGCTCTAGAAGCTTCTACAACCCTCTATGATTCATTACACGTCATCGCTCCTTAGTTACCCACAAGATTGGTTAAGTTATGACATAATTTATCTATAGGTACTCTGACCTTGGACCTCCTTTTCACTTCCTATAGGCTAGGAACCAAAGAGATGGTTCTATGGGATTCTCTTACGTTCACTACATGATTAGCAAGCTAGTTGTGGGTCGCACTTGATTTCTAATACATTTACCAAGCCTCGTTAGTCATGGAAAGTCATGGAAAATGAGAGAACTACACTCCTTTGGCATAAATAGGATTGCCCTTTCCTTAAGAAAGGGCAAGCAGACAATACAGTAAATCGACTATCACATACTTCCACGTCTTTTACAAGCTTCCAAGCATTCATCTTGTTACTCCTTGTTTCTGAAAAGTCAGTGAGGTGTTAACCTCTGACTTACCCCTGAGTTCCCAGACTCAACATTTGTTGCAACTTGTCTGAACCACTTCACTACATCACACACCTGATTGCTGCGTTGTGGAATAGTCTAAGCTACAACCCTTTGGCTCTGTTTCCTAAGACAGTGTGTTGTCTTAGTAAAATCATCCCTTCCTTGGGTGGCTAGATTCTCACATCTGGTGCACCCACCATTACATTGACGACCCATTCTTCTATTCTAATAATTACTATATATAATAGGTTGATCCTTTGGGTTGGTTAGGGCTTTTTATCCATTGTATCTTATTAGAGTTTAATATAAAGGATTATTTACTTTACCAATAACGTGCATGTATAACGAAAGTGCCAAACAAGCGAAAGTGCCAAACAAGCGAAAGTGCCAAAATATCGCGACTACCCCATAAGAATTGCGATAAATCCACCACAACAATATAAATTAATTAAAACTACTAGGAGTCCTCTTCCTCAGACCTGTCTATTACAATCTGACAAGTGCGCGCATTGTGTCCAGTCTCACCACACTTGCCACAGCGACATGCATGGGTTTCTTCCCTTGGCTTCCGACCACTACTTGCCCTTATTTCTTGCTCTACTTGCTGCACAATGTCCCTCTCGTCCTGTAGCTCCTGTGCTACCTATTGACTAAGTGATCCTCCTTGCTGTAGTCGTGTTTTTTTAGCTCTCCGGCGCTTGCTTAGCACTTCATTTGCCTGTCGCAGGTTTTGGTTCTCTGCTTTTAACAATGCTAATTGATGCATTATTTGCGATGCACCCTTTGTAAACTGGTCAACAGCTGCATAGATTGAGATTGGAGAGCTATTTTGATGATGCGCAATTTGGTTTTTAATGAAAGTAGACTGTGATACAGCTTCAGTTGGGTTATTTGGTGTCTGAGAAACCCATGGTTGAGCGGCGTTTGGGCGAGAGGTTGGAGGTGTTGGCATCTTAAACCTAAGGTCAAGTGTAGATATTACACTCTCAGGGCTAAATGGAAGAAGCCCAGCACCTCGGAACCCTCCCTGAATATTGCTTTCTGTCATTGCAATGTTAAATGCAGCGTGGAAGGCAGGAAAGAAGTCATCCTTAGTAATGTGAATAATATGAGCCCGCAGCATATCTTCAATTTGCTGACCGTAAGCTCTCTTTAATGGGCCAAAACAGCCAACATCAAGTGGTTGGAGTATATGGGAAGAGTGAGCAGGCATACAAAGCGTAATAATGTTGTGTTCTTTGCAGTACTCCTCAAACTTGTCTGAGTGGTGGCTCTCATGACCATCAAGGACTAACAAGCGATAACCACCAACACTCCGGGGCTTTGTGTGCTTCTCAAAATGCTGAATCCAATCCATACCTCTCTCGTTTGTAGTCCAGCCATTTGCAGTAACAGCGATTACCCAATCTGCTGGAAATCCGCTATTCTCATACCAAGATGCAAGGTGGTTTTTACCTGCCAGAATGACAAATGGCGGCACTGCCCAACCTTGAGAACTAAGGCCTTGGATTACTGTAACCCATTCCCGATTGCCAGGCTGCACCTTTTTTGCCTTTGCCCGCCCATCTGAGCTCGTTACTACCGTTACGCTTGAGATGACGCCCATCATAAACCCAGTCTCATCAAAGTTGTAGATATCTGCATTGTTGATGCCATACTTTAGAATTGTGTTCCATACAAGCTCAAACCAGCCACGAATGACTTCTGGATCTTCGCACTTAGCCCTCTGGTAGTCGTATTTTCGCTGGAAGCGTGTCCGGAGCTCTACATGGCGCTTAACAAAGTTTGAAGCCCAACGTGACCCGACGCGTGGCGCGTCACGTGTTGCAAGTAGTCGATTTGCCATATCTTCAATAATAGACAACTGAGGAGGGAACCCTTTAGCAGCTAAGTCAAGTATATACTGAACAAGAACTGATTCCTCTAGGTTACTTAATTTCTGTAAGTTGGCTTGGATATCGCGTCGTGAAGGTACGCCTTGTAAACGGTGACGTAGCTTGCGGTGGTCTACGGAATAGATCCTAGCTGCAACTCGAAGGCGCAAATTTGGGTCGCTTTGCATAGCTTGGATAGCTAGCACTAATTTGCTTTCATCATTTTTATGGCGCACGTTTTGTTGTGGAGGAGTTTAACATTTAGTTGGGGGGGTTGGTCACCGCATGATTTTGGCACTTTCGCTTGTTTGGCACTTTCGTTATACATGCACGTTAGCCTTTTACATATTTAATATATATTATCTTATATTAACGTCCTCCACAAGCAAGTGTCGCATACAAGTGAGTGTCGCACGCAATTGACAGATCGTAAGAAACTTTCTAACAACAACAACTATAGACTAGAAAATCAATTAAATTAATTATACACCTATTCTATAGTATCTTCGTAATCCCTTTGACATGTGCAAGCATTATGCCCAGTCTTACCACACATTCTGCAACGTTGTTGCTGTCTTTCAACCCCGCCACCCTGTTGTAGTTCTTGAGATATCTGCTCTTCCACAGCTAGGTGAGCAAGTACATCCTGACCTTCTTGAATTGTAAGGCACCCTCCTTGTTGTATACACTTTTTTTTTTCGCTTTTTGCGCTGACTTGCAACTTCATTTGCTTGTTGTAAGGCCTGAACTTCCGCCTTCATTAGAACAGCAGAATGCACCATTGTTTGAGCACCTCTTAACAACTGGTCTAGCGCATTGTTAATAGGAGTTGGTGAGCTATTTTGATGGCATATAATGCGATCTTTAAGATGCGTAGTTTGACTTGCTAGCTCTATTAGATTGTGTGGTGTTTTAGGTTCCCATGAAGCATCCTCAAAGGTTGGTGGTGTTAAAGGCCATAGTTGAATGTCAAGCTGTGACAACACAACATCAGGACAGAATGGAACTAGCCCTGTAGCTCGAAAACTACTGCAGATGTTCTGCTTTGTGATTGCGTCTGTGAAAGCCTGCTTAAAGGCAGGAAGAAACTCAACTTTCGTAACATGGTTTATATGAGTGCGGATTAAGCTCTCAACTTGCCGTCCATATGCCTTCTTAAGTGGTCCAAAGCAACTAACATCAAGCGGTTGAAGTAGATAAGATGAGTGCGGAGGCATATAAAGCAATATTAAACCATTCTCCTTACAGTATTGCTCAAACGGTAGAGAATAGTGACTCTCATGGCCATCTAGAATTAACAGGCGATGTGCACCAACTGTACGATGCTTTGTATGCTTATGAAAATGTTGGATCCATTGAAATCCAAGTTCATTTGTCGTCCATCCATTCTCACTTACTGCGAGAATCCAATCTTGTGGTATATCTTCATCATACCATGTTGAGAGATGGTTCTTCCCACTCATAATAATGAATGGTGGGATTGACCATCCTTGCGCGTTAATCCCTTGAATTACTGTTGCCCACTCTCTGTTTCCAGGTTGAATTGCTTTAGGTCAATTCTGCCGTTCAGAGTTTGTAACAACCATTGCTGTTGTAATAATGCCCATTTGAAAACCTGTCTCATCAAAGTTGTAGATGTCTGCATCGGTAATTCCATACTTTGCAGTAGTGTTTTGTACAAGTGTAAACCATGCTTTTATGAGCTCTGCATCTTCACATAGAGCTCTCTTATAGTCGTATTTGCGATTAAACTTTGTTTTAAGCTCAACATGACGTTTAACAAAGTTGGAAGCCCAATTAACTCCAACCTTGCCCACACCTCGAGATGCGAGTAATTGATTGGCCATATCTTCAACAGCACGAAGCCTAGGCGAAAACCCCCGTGAATCTAGGTCGAGGATATGTTGAATAACAACTGATTCTTCCAAGCAAGTGAGTTTTTGAGTTTTTGGTGTAATGTCGCGTCGTGGGCGTATTCCCTTTAGGCACCTCTGAAGTAGCTTAGGACAGACATTTGAGGCCTTTGCAGCTGCCCTAATGCTATTAAATTGGTGTAATCTAATAGCTTCGATAGCAATATATATTCTACCTTCAAGATTAGTT